CTTAATTTCATTTGTTATTGACCTTCTGTTTCATTGTTAAAGCAAGATCTGCAGCACCAAGAGCTTATGTTTCAGCAAGAGACCACTTTGTTAAAACCAAGCCAAATCAAAATAAAATCTATCAAGTCAGATTTCCGACAGGATCTGAATTGTCCAGTATTGGCTTCAGTTGGGATCATCACAGTATGGACCAAGTTACAACAGCTTTCTCCTATTCTAATATGGATTCTGGCAGCTCTAATTGAGGCCTCTGGTCAATGTTGAGGATTCCTAGGGCAACTTTCTCCTGACCATATACCACTGTGCTGCCAACTCTGCTGGGTCTATCCTGTTGGAGGGACAGATGATGATGGTGGGTTTTGGAACATTTTCGGAAATGATTCTGTGAATGTTACTTGACTAGTCTGTGAGACAATTTTAGCACTTGTCCCCAGATGTTAGTAAAGAAGACTTTGCAGGGTCTACAGGGCTGTTGCTGGTGCCTTAGTCTATGGTCCACTTTGGTTTAATTCCATTTTTGAGACTGTTTTTCGTGGTTGTTACAACTGAGTGGCTTGCTGGGCTATTTCAGAGGTCACCTATGAGTCAACCACTTTGCTGTGGGTCTGGAGGCACATGTAGGCCAGGCCAAATAAGGATGGCAGTTTCCTTCACTGAAGGACATGTGAGTACCAGTTGGATTTTTACAACATTTGATCATGGTTTCCTGGATATTTAATTCCAGATTTTTCTAATTCCACCCATTTGCTGTAGTTGGATTCCAAACCAGGTCCCTGGAACTTTACCTGAGCCTTCGATTATGAGTTCAGTGACAATACCATGGGGCTAGCACATTTCCCTAAGGTAGTGGAAGTCATGTGCAGACCAGAGTGTTGGACAGATTAGTCTGCCTAATTTCTAATTGAGATTGTGCTCTGGTATTTGATTACATGGTTGCCTCTATGGAATGGGTATCAGCTGCTGTGGAGAACTAGGACAAGCAAATTAATCAATACCAGCCAAATATGTGTGTGGGAGCCTTTACTCCACTGCTCGTGCAATGGATACATTTAATCACTGATTTGGTAAGGGGAGGCCAAGGGATCTTGTCCTTCCTCCTGGTGTCCCGTGCCCTCGGGGGCTGTGCACTGACAGGAAGGAGAAACAATGAAGAGGCACCCAGGGATTGTCATCTCCATAGGTGCCCTGTTGCACTTCCTTCTTTCTGCCAATGACCCAAATGCTTCCATCAGGTCAGGCTGAGGACGTTGGATCTGCACTGCACTTATACAGGAGACTGCCTGCAGGACCCCTTCAGCCACAGGCACCCAACCATCCACCCCCATTTGAGGCAAACTGGCAAAGTAGGCAGCAAGCTTCCTCGGGCTCAGCTGTGGCATGTTAAGGTAGCACAAGACAGAGCATTAGAAAAAGAAGATTAAACAACATTGGATGCTCAGGTGTCAGGCTTTTGCACAATTTGAAATTTGATATAAATATAACACCTTGTACAGTAGTCCTGTGCTCTCTTTCAATCAGTGAAAGCTTCTGACTATTTCTGCTTTCCTGGTATGCTACCTGGAGGAATCCTGATTGCTCTGCGCACACACACTGCCACATCACAGTGAGCAGTGCAGACAGTGCGAGGCTGGAGGGGTCCTGGAGCTTGAAGCGTGCAATTGATGCTCTGGTCAGGAAACTGGACAGGAGCTTGCTGGTGACAATGGAACAACTTAACTTGCAATTAATGGCAAACAAAGTATTGTAAAGTTTCAAAAAGATAAAGCACTCCCCTGAGGCCAGGACTATGTCATTGCTGTAATTCCAATTGTCCATGTTGATGCAAAGTCATTCTCCCTCAAAGCTATAAGGTTCTCTCAGGCCTGACTGCATTGTCTCAGGACTGCTCTGGCCTCTTCAGCATCCTCAGCGTTAACATTGTCTCTCTCAGCATCTCCATTGGATTCTGCTTCTTCCTTATCTGAGGTGACAATCAACTGCTAATCCTGGAGTGCTCACTTTCATCGCTGCCTTACATTGCCCCCTGACCTAGCATTCACTGGCTGTCTCTGACTTGACGAACTGGCTGGCATTTCCTTACTGCCACGTAACTGGGCAGGAGCAGGCAAGGCATGAGCTTCTACTACTGCATGGCCTGGCATGAAAGTTCATCAAGGAACAAACATGAGTAATGCAAAATACCTTTGGAGCACCTCATCAACTTACTTTGCCATCTCTAAGGATCGGCTTAAATGAGCACCAAGGTTTATACGTCCATTTATATTTTCCATGTGTCGATCAGAGGTCAGGTGTGGGTTAACAGATTCTTCTAGCAATTTTTAGTCTCAGTGTACACATACTGTAATGTATGATAGACTAGCTATTCAGAAAGCAGCAGCAATAATTCTTGTAAATCAATCTGTGGTATAGTTCAGACCCATGATGTGCCTGAACTTACTGTAAATAAATGGCAGCTAAATATTCATGATTGACAAGGGCGTTGTTAAGACAACACAGTTTAACAAGTTAGTGATACAAAGCTTCCTGCTGTGAATCTGCCAGTAAAAGTGCACAATTTAAGGAATAGTCACATTTCCCAGATTCAGTGACTTGGTTGGAGAAATAACAGATGGAATTTAATACCGTCAATTACAAGGTGATGCATTTTGGGAGATCTAATGCAAATGGGAAGTATACAGTAAGTGGCACAATCCTTAGTAGCATTAACATACAGAGGGATCTATGCATGTAGGTCCATAGTTCCCTGGAAGTGGCAACACCAATGGATAAGGTGGTCAAGAAGCGCATGGCATACATGCCTTCACTGGTCAGGGCATAGAGTATAAAAATTGTAAGTCATGTTGCAGCTGTATAGAACTTTAGTTTGGCCATAATTGGAATATTGTGTACGGTTCTAGTCGCCACACTACCAGAAGGACGTTGAAGCTTTGGAAAGGGTACCGAAAAGGTTTGCCAGGATGTTGCCTGGTTTGGATGCCATTATTATAAGGAGACATTGGACAAACTTGGTTTGTTTTCACTTGAACATTGAGGGATGAGGGGTGACCTGATGGAGATTTACA